TTCACTGCCGAGCCTTTCGCCGCCATTTGTCAGCGCCACACCAAGTTGCAAAGGTTCGACAAGATGGTGGGTGTTCTTCGGCCGGTTCCAGCTAGTTGAAACAGGTCCACCTTGAGTGAGGTCCACCGTGTGTGAGATCCACGTTGCGTGGAGTCGACCTTGTGTGATCGTTGATGTAGAGGCGAGGGGATGGAGTCACCTCATGCCTTGCCTGTATTGCAGGGGCAAATCATGGCAAATCGCTTCCGGGCGTTTTCAGCTAGCCAGCTAGCGAAAACCACAACATCAGCCAGCCAGCCGAAACGGCGAATCCCGTAAAATCACCTACTTATCCCACCAAAATCAACCAGCTGAAAGTGGCGTCATCAATCAGCCATACTTGACATTCCATGTATAGGCCAGGTTGTCACATATTATGTTTGTCGCCATTTTGGCTAACAGGGCCCTTGAGCTGTACGGCTCACGCCAACAGTAAAAAGAGCTGCGTGGACTGCACGGTCCCGTTGCCAATTCACATTGGTAGCGGAGCAGGTGACGACCTGTCTCCGGGGTACGTGTCAGATCCAGGGACTAGACCGTTGAAATCTTGAATTGTTCTTGGAACTCTTCATCCTCTGAAATCGTCTGATCCCCATGGGACAATTGGCTGACCTTGGGTACAGGCAGTCCATCGCAAGAATCGTCGAAATGTCGGTGGCTGGACTTAGCTTTGGCTCTGACCAATCCACCGCGCCTTTAGAGACCAAGAGTGGATCATACATATATCATGGGGATGCAGCACGCTATCATGATTCGGAATTCCGGACCCTTTTACGAATAAAACTGTTTGATTCTAAGAAGGACGTAGAATCATCCCCAACCGGAAGGAGTTCCGAGCCCGCTGGGCCGGACTCTGAAGTTGAAGCTGGAATCTCACCTCACCCGCGCCCAGGCCGCCAAGACGATGGAGCCACAGCCTCTGCCAGTCCAAGCCCTACAGGGGATGAGACACTGGCGGAGACTGGAGTGCCTTAGTCAACAAAGTTGTAGAGGGCCTTCGTGGAGATGTCTTTCTCATAGCCAGAGATCTCGGTTTGGAGACCCTGACCCGAGAGGGAGGACTTGAACATTTGGTTGAACGAATCAAAAGCTAGTCTTCCCCCGAGCACAAGAGGAAGCCAAAGAACTCTTTAGAGCAGACCAAAAGGCGGGTGGGGTCCTATCCAGACGGCCCCAAGAACCCATGCTGAGCTACACCCAGCGTAGACGTAGGTGGTGGAGAGTGCTGACCGAGCTTGACCCTTCCATAGCACTTTCCGAGGGACTCCGGATGGAACTCATGCTTGAACTGTCAGGCTTGAGTCGGCAAGAGGTATTGGTTGTAAAAGCATGTGCCGCTACCAAGGACTTCGAAGGAGTTGCCAAGGTGTTGGTTGACCAGTACTCAGGAATCCATGTGAGGGAGGGATCCAGGTCTTGGAATGGCCGCGCTTTCACCCCACAATCGTATGGGAAGCCTGGTAAAGGGTATGGAGGTTCCAAAGGATCACAAAGTAGTAAAGGTTCCTACAAGACAGCCTACAACGCCTATCTCGATGAGGAAGGCTACCGTGAGTATGATGAATATCAAGAGGAATACTTTGAAGAAGCTGGTGGGATTGAAGAACACATTGCAGAACAGCACACTTCACACTCCGATAACCCCCCTGAAGCATACGACTTTCATGACGAAATTGATGAGTATGAGGCAACAGCCCTAAATGCCCTTATGGATTTAGGAGAAGGGGAGACCGAAGACGACAAAAGCATTGGGGAAGCTATCCAGCTCCAATTTGCTGCCTTCGTAGCCTTCGGACGTGTGAAAGGAAAAGGTAAAAGGAAAACCAAAGGGAAAAGGAAAGGTTATCAGGTCCAACCTCTCCATCGAACAGCGCAGAAAGCGACTCTCAGAGATCAAGGCCAAGTCGAAATGTCTTCGCTGCGGCGCCTATGGGCACTGGGCAGGTGACCCCATTTGTAAATTCCCAGGTGCCAATGGAAATACCGGTGGGAAAGATTCCAAACCCCCATCGAATCCTAAGCCAACAGCACATTTTGCAGACTTTTCGGACTCATCTTCAGACGAGGGAATTTTTCTTGAGTGCATCGTCACCCAAATCACCAGTTGCAAACATGGCCATCAAGAGCGCAGCTGCCCCGTCAAAGGCACCCAGTTTGGGGCCCCCTATGACTCCTGTAAAACGAAATGATCCCACAAAGCCCCCTGGAAGCAACACGAAGTTCAAGTTTGGTCAATTTAAGGGGAAGACGTTTTGGGAGATCTTGCATGACCATCCAGACTACTTTGTATGGACGCAGAAGAACGCCAAGAGTCCAGGAGCTTCAGAGTATGCCGAGTGGGTGAATCAACACTTTGAATATCAGGGGACTGTCGTTTATCGTAGGAGTGGATTAGAACCACCACCACCTCTTCCAAAGCAACATGCACGCTTGAGGAAACCACCGAATCCACCAAAAGAAAAATGTGCCGTTTGCACCCAGTTCACCCGTCAGGGGAGCACAGGATACACCATCAAGGAGACCTGTTTGGTTTGTGGGCATGCAACCACCACTAGGAGGGAGATGATTCCCCAATATCCCTTTAAAGCCTTTGAAGAATGCCCACATGAGGACAAGGACTCCCGAGGTTCTTCAAGATTTGATCTGTTCAGCGAATTTTCTGCAAACAGTGTTGCGCGTTTCTGGATGAGACTCCGATGGAGCTCCAAAAGACCCGTAAGGAAGTTTCCCACAAGGTTTTGGACGCACCATTGGAAAGGGCGACTACAAAGAAGCGACCCTTAGCCCCGAGATGTTGGACACGATTCTCAATGATTTTCCCTCTTTGGTTGCCACTTGCTCGGAATCTGAGGCTATTACATCGACCAAGCTGCATGCTTCGCCAATCCATCGCCAACGCAGAAGGAGACAGCAGTTTTCCATGGTTGGTGAGGTAGAGAGCTATGGGGAAGACTTTGCAGGGATTGGAGTGTGCTTCCATGGAGATGAACCGGAAGTAGAAATGCCTGCTGGTCTGGTGCATGTGTTTCAAGAGACCCGAGATATGTACGACATGAACGACCCAAATATCTATGTTGTGCTGGATGAAGGGTGTAATTCAACATGTCACTCCAAGCACTGGGCTGAGGTAGTTGAGACCAAGTTGAAGAATCTTGGGTACCAGTTCCCCTTCAAAGACACCAAGGAAAAACTTTCTCTGGATTGGGGACTGGTGGGACCTCGACCCAAGGATCCCAAACCTTGCCTGTCAGCCTGAATTCCATGGATAGCCAATGTACACCCTTCCATGGGGTACTTGAGACACACCAGCTTAGCACCGGGAAGTGACCACTTCTGTTGTCACTGCATGCTCAAGCCCACTTGGGACTTGTTAAGGACTTCAAGAATGGTACAGTATCCATCGATGGTAACCAATTGCCAGTGTTCAGATGTTCGCACACAAGGTTGATGATGTTGGCAATCACTCCCAATCAACTTGATCCCATGGGCAGAACGTTCCATAACAGTTCCCAACAGATCCCAAAGTGCCATAGGAATTTGGAGCTGCATTCACCGCTGTTTCAGGCGCGCCCTCGCCGATGAATGCCTCGAAGACTGCCACTGGATTTCACCATTCTAGCACTTCTGCTGTTGAGTCCGCTTTAGACCAAGCCCTGAGGGGATTGAATCGCTCGAACGTCCTGATAGTGACATCGGGAGCGAGGTGGACCAATAGACAACCAGCTTTGAATGGCGTCACAGTGCTGCAGATCGATTGCCGGCATTTCCACGACCCTGACAATGACAGGACTCTTAGAGGACATGGGAGTCTTAGCTGAGATCAAGGGTCAGATCAGATCTTTGATGACGTGGGAAGTCGATGCTAGGAGTTGTGTGCCGCACTTAGCTCTTACAGATTGCCGTTCTCTCTCGGATCATTTGGCTTCCGAAATTCTCGCGAAGGTGAGTGACAAGAGATTAGGCATTGAGCTGCAAAGGATACATGGATCCTATTGGAATGATGACCGAAAGACGTGGGATGTCGACCCAAACGGAGGAGACAAGCTATCCTGGATAGCTACCCACACTATGACCAGTGACTGTCTCACAAAGAGTATGAAACCGGACTTTATCATCCGTGTATTAACAGATTGCATGTATAAGGTACAGAAGCAGTAGAAGTACCACTGCGCCATTTTCCGTAGTGCCCTGTACAGACATGAATGTAAACAATGCGATGTGACACCTGTAGAACAGGTTGAGTGTCAATTTGAGGTACTTGACATTCCATGTATAGGCCAGGTTGTCACATACTATGTCTGTTGCCATTTTGGCTAACAGGGCCCTTGAGCTGCACGGCTCACGCCAACAGTAAAAAGAGCTGCGTGGACAGCACGATCCCGTTGCCAATTCACAATTAGCTCGTCAAAATCAACCCGCCGCCGAGCGCTGCGGAATCAGCCCGGGGGTCCGAAGCCGGCCAGCCAGCCAGCCAGCCAAAAAAAGATTTTGGCGGCCGGCGGAATCAGCCAAGATCATCGTTCGGCAGCTTTCAAAATTTCCGTGCATTTCCATTGCGCAGGCTCGCGCGAAGTGTGGGTCCCGGTCTTGGGATCGGTCCTCCTCCTCAACATCATCATTTTCACCCTCCTCGACATCATCATTCTCAACATCACCATCCTCCACATCATCATCCTCAACATCATTATCCGCAACATTATAATCTTCATCGTCATCTTCATCTTCAAAAACATCTCCATCATCATTATCATCATGATCATCATCATCATCAACAACAACAACAACATTGTCATACAATATCCTCCCACACGCCCACACTGTTTGGGGTCTCTTGCCACAATAACTCACTTGTGTTCAACTTGTCCTCGCTTGGCTGTTTGGCACGAATCCTGGCATTTTTGTTGGCCATTCCCTAAGTCACGCCTGACCCATTTTCCTCGTGCGACAAAGCCGTTGATCTCAAGGATACACGGCGGATTTTGCGAGTCCCCTGAAATCATGGAGGTGCGCGAACCACGCGCCAAAGCGCGATTGTCAGAGGCGTTGGCCACGGGCCAATGCCTAAAACCAGAGCAGTTGAAACGGCTTTTTGGTGACCAGGGCCTGGAGGCCGGTCGAGACTAAAATGCGGGCAGGCATTTGCATATGTAATCAATGACCGTTTTTGGTAAATTAATAATAAATTATGAACTCATGATTGCCGACTAGAGCTATACATTGTATTGAGTGTATTGGGTCGGGTTGTCCCATGTGTTCGTTCTGTCTCCCTGAAGGTCCTTTACGCCAATGTCAAGAAGAACGACCAGGGTGAAATCCTTGCGGATCAGCTTATCGAATGGCTCTACGGGGAAGGTCAAGGTGCCAAAATGCTGCCCAGCGCACCTCACTTGGAGGTGCCACGTGCCACAACGGCTGCTGCTGCTGCTGCTGCTGGTGGGGATAGTCCCAGTGCAAAGTCGGGGTCATTCAGCCCTAGACATTGCCGAACAGAGCAGGACGTGGAAAAATTTGGGATCCTGACTTTGGGCTGCATTTCTAGCCGCATTTGTTGATCCTTCAGGTGCAAATAGGTGCTCATGACAACACAGCGTCTGTATATTGCATGTCAAAATTTTGAAATTGTTTGTGATCCTTTTGATAAGTCTTTCATCGATTTCGAATTCTTCAGCACAATAACGTCGTGAATGCCATACTCTTAGACGGAAAACACTGAAAATTGAGTTTTGGTTCTTCGACGAATAATTTTAGGACTTGACGGGAACACGCACACACACACACATCTTCCAGCAAGTGAGGTGCATGAGGGTTTTCTCCGGAAAATGGTATCCTTATCTAAACTATCAAAATCCAACCACTGACCTTCACATCTTCCAAAACTGTTGGCAATTTCACGTAAGTATGGAAACTATAGCCCACTTAGTTAAATGAGTTCCTTCAAATATGGTGATTTTCCCATCCGGAGCTGTGCCATGTGGAGCCAAGTAGAGCCAAGGATGGAGAAGAGCAAAACCCAGGAAGCGATGGCGGAGTATAAAGCCATGGCCAGGGACCTGGCTGAAGAGTTCCAAGACAAAGTGGCGAATCCCACCGCCGAAGCTTTCATCGAGTGACCTGCCGGTGTGGGGTGGCTGGGAAAACATCTCGTGGTGAAGGTTGAACTAGTTTAGTGAAACAATGGTCAAAGAGTCTTGGGTTTGCACTTGGGTTTGAGACTTGAAAGCTGAACAAATCAGGGTGTATTTTGTCTTTGAACACCTGGAACTGCGTCTTGAATCCAACAAGTATGACACCCATGACTGTCACAGGCAGCTCTGTGTGGAGAAGATCTTGCAGGGTGCCCTCTTCGTGGGCCACGTCAAAACCGACTTGGATAGCATCGCTGGAGCCATTGGCGGTGCTTGCCTATGGCAAGGGACGGCCACAAGGGCAGAGAGGGATCTCAATGGTGAAATCATGTATGCATTGAAATGGGCAGGCCAGGGATCGAACAGTGTGTGGTGAACTGTTGGTGTTGCAATTGTGTAGATTGAGCTGCTGCTGCTGCCATTCTAAAACAACTTGTTCTTTGGTGTATTCACTTTTCCTCACCAAGTCAGCTTGTCTAAGATTTAGCAAATGCCTCGGGCTCTATTTAGCTCTCAGCGTTCTTGGCAGGTTTGGAGGTGCCACCTTTCTTCGATGATCATCCTGGTGCCGCCACACCAGATGCGGATGGCAAGCTGCTGCCAGTCTGTTTGGTGGATCACAACGAGGACAAACAGATGGTTCCCTCCTTGCGAGACGCCCCAGACCGCAAGAAGCGTATCATTGGGCTGATTGACCACCACGTGCCTTGACAATGTACTGTAGGATGCAGCTGTTTGACATATACCGCTGGGGCACAAGAAAGATATGTCAACAACAACAGATCTCAGACGGAATGCACATAATTCACTGACAGGGGATAGATCTTGAATAGATCTTGGAGAAGTACCTTTGGGGTTCTCCCAAGGCATTTTGTGGCTTTTCTTGGGCTGATTCCAAAGCCCGAGGCTTTGGCGGAGTCAATGGCATCAGAAAAGCCCGTCTTCATGGACGTGAGGCCCTGGGGATCCATGAGCAGCATCGTCACACACTCCTACATTCGAGGCAACCGAACCTCGACAAAACTGTGCTCGGAGATGCTCAATGGATATATCATGATATATCACCAGAAAAAAACCCCGACCATTTTCTCGGAATCATTCTGGGTTGCAATTGTGATGTCCCTGGGCTCTGTCTTTGCTTGAGTACTGTTTCAGTTTTGCTTCCACTCAGGAATGATCCCAAAGCCTGTTGCGCGAATTTTGCTTTGTGCGATTCTGTCGGACACTTTGAAACTTGGCAAAGATAAAGATGTTCTCAGCCCAGATTATGGGACCAGATGCAGATGCAGGAGGGTCCCGTTGGAATTACTACCAGAACTCTGCTTGCTTCACATTTGCAAAGCGCCCACTCGCCCACCTCCAAGATTTGTTGAAGGTTCACCCTGCGCACCCTGTTTACCCTGTTCACCTGTCCAAGGAACTTGCAGAGTGTCACTACCACAAATGCAGATCGTTTCCTGGTGACCGTCCTTTGCATTCTGGGGGAGTGCGAAGATCCTGATGAGCTTGCTCGAGCCATGTTCCGGGCGAAGACCGAATGGATTGTAGGACTTCTGCGGCTTGGAACTGGACATGTTTGACTGCTTAGCAACAGAACAACCAAGGGAAGGGGTTATTTAATTTACTGGGACGTACCCATACCTACCAACATATTTGACATGTGTGTTCAAACGCTCAACTGCTGACGTTGCACGTAAATTTCATGTCCGAAACGCGCCCGTTGCTGCCAGATCTTCAGTCCTGCATCGGTCCAGGACTTGGGGCCTATGAGATGACTCGAGGCGATCAGAAAGACTTCACAGCCAATGGATGGAAGGTGGGTATTGCGGTTCTTGAGGTCACCGACACTGAGCCTGTTTTGAAGGTTGCCGATGATGCTCGACTTGGATCCGGAGACGGTTTAACGATCTTTTTTTAAAATATGTATGTCTAGCAACCCCCCAAAAAGGATAGCAATTCCTACTATTCTATTCAAGTAGGATAGTACTTTTATATTTTGGGGTTTGCTAGTGTCTTTGATACTCTTTGGTGTCTTTTTTTTGGGGGGGCAGTTGATGTTACAGAAAGTCTCCAAGTGGCTGGCGAAGTTTCTGCCTCACATCAGGAGCTTTTGATGGAGCTGCGAATTCTTAAAGTTGAGAAGGGAACCTGGGCAGATGCAGCAGGTTTTATGGGTTCATCCGTTGCACGGAAAAACGTTACCAGGAATCATTGAGGCTTAAGTTCGAAAGCTTCCTTTTGAAACATGCAAAAAAGCACATGTAGGTATATATATATATATTATATGTACTGTAAATTAGTATGCGTCTGCGTTTGTCATATGCCAAGGCATTAAGTCAGATCCGCCTCGTTCATCTCATGAGGCGCCCTGAAGAATGGTGAACATGACCGGCGGAAGGAACTGGACTTCGCGTATTTGTTTGTGGTGGACGTGACACAGCAGAAGTCTTTCCTACTGGTGGCGGGTGGTCGGGAGTTGGCGTTGGCCAAAGCAGTGCCTTGGGCCTGTCAGGAGACTCAAAATCCTGTGCAGTGCAGTTTTTGCAGGTCATTTCCTATACGAAAATGGCAGTTTTGGGATATATCTTTTTGCATGAAAAGTGCATTTCTGGGATATGATATGATGCGTTCTGGGCAAACCCGACTGTAGGGATTCGAATGGGGATTGTTCGCCAATATTCCACACAACAGAATTGGAAAACCAACAGAATATTGAGGTAGACCAGCTCTCCAAATGCACCGTTGATTTATGATTCTTCATTGTGGTTCGTTTCCCCCGATTAGAACCCTTTACAATGACAAAACCCCATGATATCCCCCTACATACTGTACCCGATTGCAACCCATCATGATCACCCGTTATTTCCCCATGTTTCCCCCATGTACGGAGCATTTTCCAATGGCTTTTCCAAGCCTCTTCCCATCAACCGAGGCCTTTCCGGGACGTCCCTTGCGCGAGGCCAAGGTGGGGATCCAAGCACCGGGGAAGACAATCCAGGCCGCAGAGACCTTGATGGAGGCAGGGCTGGAAACCTGGAGGATCCACTGGAGGATTTGGGAGGATACCATGGAGGATATCGCCATTTTTGATTCTGGAAACCTGGATGTAAAATGATGTAAAGGCTGGAGATTTTGAAGGGCAAAAGGCTGGAGGTTTTGGAAGTTGCTGGCGGATTTCTGAGATTGGACATTTTGAGGTGGGTGACATCGTCTCGCGCAAAGCCCAGTTCGTGCCTGCCTTCTTCTCAGCGCTGAACTCGGGATTCAGCTGCCACAAGCAGCCCAACAGCAGCATCAGCGAGGAAATTGCTGGCATCAAGGAGGACGATGAGGTTCATGCAGCCATTGAAGCCCTGCAGAAAGAGTCGTTCCATGATTCGGTGCATGTGGTGAGGGACTACACGCGTTATAGAGACGCACTTGACAAGGCGGAGCCTAGCTAGAGCAGCTAGCGCTTCCCCACAATTCCAGTTCCAGTATGTTCCAGTGGTTTGAACTCGGTCCTGCAAAGCAGTGTCCGGTCTCTCTCATTGCTCAGACCAATGTTGCAAAGCACATGTGAATAGTGTGAACGCTTCCAAGACTGCTTGGATTGAACTACGGAAAAGCTCCGATGTTGGCCATTCCAAAACCCAGATGCCAGGCCCACTTTCCTGGCTGAAACTGTTTCAACCAAGTGTCTGATCTTTTGACTTTGTCCTTCCTGCTTTCCCATTGGAATCGAAAATGGGCTTGAGACTACAACACGCCATTGAAACGCTCATTAGTCGTTAGGGCCATATCATTTGATCCTTGACCTCATTTTCCAGCTTGATCCGGAGTCTAGAGGGAGTAAGTAGTGGGACGGAAGAAACTTCAACATCTTCAACTTGTTTTTTCTTCCCAAGCTGTTTCTAGTGAATTTTGGGATGGTATATAGTTTTGGTCTTCGCTAAGAGGAGCAATGAGGGACCACTGTCCACAATGACGGGTCTGCCACTCACTGAGTGGGCAAAGCAGCGGGAGCTGCCGGCGCTAAAGTGCCGCGAAAGCTGCTGGCGAGATGTCTCAAGTCTTGTCTCCTCATGATTTGTATATATATATATATAAATGAGAAAATGTAAATCAATGAATGAATGAATGAATGAATGGAATGGAATGGAATGGAATGGAATGGAATGGAATAATGATGGAATGGAATAATGATGGAATGGAATCATGATGGAATGGAATCATGATGGAATGGAATAATGATGGAATGGAATAATGATGGAATGGAATAATGAAGGAATGGAATAATGAAGGAATGGAATAATGAAGGAATGGAATAATGAAGGAATGGAATAATGAATGAATGGAATAATGAATGAATGGAATAATGAATGAATGGAATAATAAATGAATGGAATAATGAATGAATGGAATAATGAATGAATGGAATAATGAATGAATGGAATAATGAATGAATGGAATAATGAATGAATGGAATAATGAATGAATGGAATAATGAATGAATGGAATAATGAATGAATGGAATAATGAATGAATGGAATAAATGAATGAATGAATGAATGAATGCATGAATGAATGAATGAATGAATGAATGGAATAATGAATGAATGGAATAATGAATGAATGGAATAATGAATGAATGGAATAATGAATGAATGAATGAATGAATGAATGAATGAATGAATGAATGAAATGAATGAATGAATGAATGAATGAATGAATGAAATGAATGAATGAATGAATGAATGAAATGAAATGAAATGAAATGAAATGGAATGAATGAATGAATGAATGAATGAATGAAATGAATGAATGAAATGAATGAAATGAATGAATGAATGAATGAATGAATGAATGAATGAAATGAATGAATGAATGAATGAATGATATGAATGAATGAATGAATGAATGAATGAATGAATGAATGAATGAATGAATGAATGAATGAATGAATGAATGAAATGAATGAATGAATGAATGAATGAATGACTGAAATGAATGAATGAATGAATGAATGAATGAATGAATGAATGAATGAATGAATGAAATGAAATGAATGAATGAATGAATGAATGAATGAAATGAATGAAATGAATGAATGAATGAATGAATGAATGAATGAATGAAATGAATGAATGAAATGAATGAATGAATGAATGAATGAATGAATGAAATGAAATGAAATGAAATGAAATGAAATGAATGAATGAATGAAATGAAATGAATGAAATGAATGAAATGAATGAAATGAATGAAATGAATGAATGAATGAATGAATGAATGAATGAATGCAAAAGTAGATAAATGAATAATAAAATATTATCTCTCTAGACCCTAGACTAGGTTCATAGCGAATGTTTTGGAGATATTTTGTACTGGGTATGGCTTCAAGGTTTCACAAACAACTGGGTATTATATCAGTGTTCCCTCTTGGAGAGCTCGCTGCGAGCTCCTGAGTAGTTGGGCTGCCTGACAGCCTTGGCCCAAAGGGCCCCCTTTGGGCCCAAAGGGCTCCGAGCTGCACGAGTGGTGCGGGGGAAAGAAGTGGATTTGGGCGACCTCGAGGGAAACTGTTTGGAATCATCGAATCTCAACATGATCTTCTTTCGGATTGGTGAATCAATTGTGAATCATGAATCATCATTACAATTTAGCCAAAAAACTGGATGGTCTTGACCTTTTATCATTTTCATCTGCGGAAGCCATGGGATCGTAAGATGGGCGGCATTTTCTGCTGAAGGGAGGATGTGTTTAGTGGAAAGACCTTCAGTCAATCTGCACAAGATGCTTTGAAACGCGCTCTCTTGCCTTGGGTCGACACGCACAGCTTGGTGACTTTTCTGCACAGCGCATGCTGCTTGGGCTCGAAGGGGCGCTTCATAGTGGATTGATTCATTAGTAATGGCCATGCTTCGTGCATGCTTGTGTGTGGGCCTTGATGATTTTTTGTCTGACTTGCACTTTCTCTGGGAATAAGATCTACTCTCCGGCAAACTAACACAGCTATGAACATACATGGATAAAAGGTGGATTTTCAATATCTATGTAAGTTTACTGTAGGGTTCTGACATGGGAGGGCTGCCATTCTTTTGAAACTCAGGTCTCCTGCTGCTTGCCAATGTTGCAGCGCAGGACATTGCTCCTAGTTATGAGGTACCTCCTGGCATAGTCCCTGTATACGGGATTGCCCATGGTTGCCCTACCTTTCTGAACAAAATTCAAGAAGTGTGTGGGTTCTTGTAGGGTCTCTCTTCAATCATGCTTTTAATCGGGTTTTCCGTCTCACGTACTCGAGTTTCCTGGTCAGGTGGTGAGACACTCAGACCCAAGGCTTCTAGAGGCCGAGCAAAAGCGTGTCCCCGGGTCTTGGTGTCGGTTTTGTGGACTCGAAATCCAGCAACAGTTCTACGCAGTTCTGTGTGTACACACACAGAACACAGATATATATATGATATACAAATATAATCAAACATCAAAAAAACACACACACACACATATATATATATATACATATGACAATATGATAATAAACAAAACATGAATCAATACACAAATAATAAACACCTAAATAAATGAAAACAATATATATATATATATACATACACCGATAGAAGATATACATATACAGAAATAAACATATGTAAATTGTAAGCATTTCCCATTCTGATTGAGCAACATCCCCATGAATTGCTGGAAAATACAGCCTCACAGGCACTGGAAGCTCAACATGGACATGACCCCGTGGCCCGAAGAGCTTTGGAGGTTGGAGCGCTGGTTCATTGACTACGTACACAAAGATGTAAACAGTGTAAACCATTGGTAACCAACGAGTTTGGAGGATCTTCATCTAGTTCGGCCCCTTCCCAAACTGCAAGGAAAAGCCTTGGGAAGCCCCAGCAGATCGGTTTGGAGATGTTTGATAGTAAACTGGAGGTTTATCAATCTTGGTTTCACATTCAATTCTTGGACCAAAAACCAAAGCCTCGCAGCCAAAGGTAAGCCGTCGCCTCTTTGACTTTGCTGGCTTGACGGACTCCATCGGTGGAGCAGCCAAGTGGTGTCAAGACACCGTGAGCCAGGTGCCACTCCCGGGCTGCTATTGTTTTTGGTTCAAAATGTTGCATTTTTGCAGACTCTTCACCCACACAATTTGAGACACTGTTGTGGATTCTGCAAGTTTAACCTTCTGCAAACTGCAGGTGTCAAACAAAGTGGTGGGTGTCCAAGAAGCAGCGTCTCTAATTCAGAATGCGCAGCTTGACTTAGCAAATTATTTGGCCCCACAATCTCCGCGCGTTAGGGAGCAACTTTGGAACAACCTTTGATTTTTCCAGTGCGTCTTCCAGCTTGGAAAGTGCGGCTTGCAAGTCTCGCCCTTGAGGAATACCTATATTGGCGAGGGGAGCCAGTTGACATCACAAGCGTGGAGTAGCATGTTGGAGCTGGGAACAAAGATGACTGGCGTTTACAAAGGCCATGGCTACAGAAAGAATGGAAGTGAAATGAAGTATGCTACCATCACTACCATCAGCATGCCATTGAGATTGTATCCCTCTTTGGGTTCTCGGAAGCTCCCCTACACTTTAGATGTCTTCCGTGCACGTTTCGTTTGCCGCAGATTTCAAGCCGCTGGAACCGGCTTTTGGGAGTGACCCGGCAGCAGAAACGCGTTGACCACTGACCTGTCTGCCGTTTTGGTGCTGAGGAGCTGGAGGTGCCATGGAGTTGACGACCAACCAGGGCATGTTGTCGCAACTGGTGCATTGTGTGCGGTCCATCATCAGCAGCGACTTGGACTACTTGGATTGTCTGGGACAGCAGCTGGGATTACAGCAACACTTGGATTCTGAGCGACTTTCGACGGGGAACTTTTGGGGAAGCCGATCATGGTTGATGGCTGTAGGGATCATTCGGGCTCCGGTTTCAGCAGCATCGACTTGTGAGAGGGAAGAGTGCACAATGGAGATTTCGACTCCTGACCCGAAAATCTCCGAAGCCAGCATAAAACTCGAGGCAACAGCATTTTAGATGTCCTGGGCACGTCCCTTGACAAAGCGCTGGGCATTTTCTCTCAGATCAAGGACTCGAGGGAGCTTGCTGTCAGTAATTGGAATGCCTGTGTTGTAGACTTAGTGGATAGCACATGATGGCAGAAAAGATCCGCCACTTTCATGATTCCACAGGGTCGCTGAGATCTTTATGCTGATGCCACATGGGTCTGGTTGAAAATGGGGTACACACCAAAATGACAATTTTTATAATTTTGATAGGGACAATGGCCACTACCCTTGGATTTGGGGTTACATGATTTTCATGCAAACCCAATAGTTTCTTGAGAGATCTTGAGATCTTTGTGGTCAGGACACGATCGTGAGTGTCGTCTCCAAACTCGGCGGTCGCAGGCTGGAACACAGTGGCACCAGTGGTCCACAGATTCGTTGCCGTTGCGGCTCTCGTCCCAGGTTGAGAGAACTGGGACCAGAGGGACGACGTCTCTATGACTACAACCAGTTTCTTGCATCCTTTCACCCAGATTATTTTCCCTTCATTCCACTGAAATTGGCCATGCTGCACTGAGGCTTTTGGAGGGGATCGACTTTGACTGGATCTCCAGTAAGATTTCTGGCTTTGTGTCTTGACCGATGTGCGCAGCACACCTGGATCCGGGTTTTCACCCCATGTGACCCTACATCTTCATTCGGATTCGAGCTCTCCAACGGCAAGGGGGATGACCCCTTAACGACACCAGACCCTGAAAGCTTGAAAGCAATCTGGGTATGGACCAAAATCATCCAAAATCATCCAAAATCTATATTACTAGATTATTTTTTTTCGATGAACCCCCATAAATCCCAGCTATTCTTCTTTTTTTTGTTGGAGGTTGCGACCATCAAGACGCAAGCAGAAAATTTGGTGGATATTGACACTGTGCTGGGCCCGATGTTGGCAAAGATGGACAACACGGGTCAGGCCTGGGATCTTGTGATAGTGGGTCCCAACCAATGGATATCTTACAAATATTAACATAAGACATTGCTCTCGCACACATCGTTAGGTAGATGGTGATGGATAGACGAATAAATTTAGCTGACAGATAGATGGATAGATTAAAAAGAGACGCGCATACTTAAGCTGGGACGTCATTGGGACCATAGCCCCATTTCATCAGTCGTAGGGGTGTAGTTTTGCTGCAGCCACGTTGGTTGCCAGCGGCCATGCCACCAGACAGGGTTGTCCGTCTAGCTTCATGTCCGCTGGAAAGCCCTGCGCATGTCCAGCAATGGAAGTCCAAACCCTCGTCACTTGGTCGGTTGCGAGTGGGCTGCATAGGCCAACTGTTCAATGACTGTAGGTAGTTATTTCAATGACTTTTACCCTATAGTACTGGAGACATGGCCATGGAAGATCCGGATACATTTTCTCATCAAAGATCATCATTCATGTTCTGTGTAGATTTGATTTCATATCATTATCTCTGCAAATGTATATTTCAATTGGACCCAGTCTAGACTGTCTAGACTGGAAGGTCCCAGAGGTTTCCGGGGTTGTTAGCTCCCAGGATGGCCACCAGCGCCTTGAAATCCTTGGCGCGGACTCGTCCCGGACGTGGCCATGACGCGGTGCAACTGCTGGGTTTGATGCTGCAGAGCAGGGTGGAGACCAACGTGGCGCATTTTTCCGCAGGTAACTGGGTGAATGCCTTGGTGAATTGGTGAATGGCTTGGGCCACTTGGGGTTGGATATTATGATATTTTCTGGGATGTTAGGCAGGGTGAGTAGTTGAAAGATGTTGGAAGCCTTGAATTTGGGAGAGAGACCAGGCTGCAATCATCCACAAAGACCTTGTGTGGCAGATGTTTGTTTTTTGAATTGATTTTTTAGTGTTGTGGATATTACTTGACTCCAGTACCCTGCTCACACCTGGCGCAGTGCAGGCTTTGGTGCCTGTCAGAGCTGGGATTTGGTATTGGCAATCCTGGAAATGATGCAGCAGGTGGGGTCAAAAAGACCTTTCGGGCAGACGAATCACAAACACATGCGGCATTAACAGGTGTGATTAAAACATTGCATGTCAGTTTACCTGCCATCTGGTGAATTTTCTCCACCCATCCCAATTTTCCCAGGGTAAATTGGGATCGAATCCTCCAAGGCCAAAGTGTCGCTGGATGCCATGGGGCTTGGTTCCGCGATCCGTGCATGTCGCAGATCACCTGGACCCTGGCAGGTGGCAGTCAGCTTGTTCGCTAGTGCGCCACTTGGGTGCACCATGACTGCCTTGGGATGGGAGAAACACTCAGCCAACATGGTGGCATGACGAGTTCTACATGAGTCCACTGAGAGTTTGCCACACCCATTTCGTCTTCTTCCTTTGGGTTTGATTGGAACAACAAACCCCTGTTCTCGTGCGCACTTGGGTCTGAGGCAAGATGCTGCATGCCACCCAGATGTCATCGCGCACAACAATCTGCTGGCCGTATATCAGCGGAAAGCAGCATGGCAAAGTGCTACCCTTCTGCTGGAAGAGATGACCACTGGATTCCTTCGCCTCGATGTGGTTGGCCTCTTGGAAAACATCTCCAATTTGCATCGAAATCCCCTCCATTTCTCCATAGCTTCTTTCACTGGAAATTTCCCTCCATCCATATTTCCTTAGCTTACCTTTTTTCAATAGTGAGGGTGGCTGGTGGCATTGAACAAAATGGTGGCCCCACCCCCCCTGGCCACGTCGTTAAGGCTACAGCTCCCTGCTGGCGCCCTGCAGCTGGCAGTGGCCTCTGCAGGTCCTGCAGGCCATGCGCCACAGCAACCTGCGGCCCGATGCCGTCAGCGTGGACGCCGCCATCACGGCGGCGCGCAGCTGGAGGGTGGCGCTGGAGCTGATGGAAAGCCTGGGAGAGCCGGAGATGGCAACTCGGCGGGAGGATCAATAAACCAATAAAAAGAAGATAAAGAAGTTAAGTAAATAAACAAACAAACTCACTAGACTAGCAAGCTAACTAACAAACTAGATAGATGATAGATCTAAATAGATAAATAGATAGATAAATGAATATATAGATAGATAATATATATAAATAAAAACGCACACAAATACACGCATGATGTTTTTGCTTGTATACGCACAATTGAAGATTTAAGATGATCTTCAATAGAATCTTTGCTGCGCCACGCAGACATTTTGGGCAGTTTTCACCCAGCAATGCTCACCCTTGTGCGGACTTCGCGTCAGTATGCAGGTGACTTATGGCGCTGCTCTAGGACTTGGGTTGGGGCTATTCTTTGTGTGTGCGAGTGGTCTTAAAATCATGTGTCCCCTGCAGTTGCAGATCCGTAAGCAATGCATTTGTATGGCTTCTGTGTGAGCACAGGAACAACGTTTGTTCCAACATACTTCCTTGCATACTTCCTTGCGATGGGCTAGTTTTCGCAGAATATTTTCTTCAACGCTAGCTTTTGTTCAGTATCAGTAGCCTGGGTCTAGCAAGAAAAACAATCCCAAGGTGTTGTATTTCCCATGTGGATTCCATTTCAGATCGATTTTACGCCCCAAATGGTTCTCCTTCAGGGTTTTGGACATCGTTCAGGACGTTTCCCCAGTTTCCAATGCTCCCAACCTGCGGTTGATCATTTCCCGAACATAAGATGGGATGGCAAGCAATCATTGGGGATAGATCCCTCAGACGCCAAATCAAACATTATTGTTCAGTTATCTCTCCATTCATTCGTTATATCCCTGGGTATCGATGGTCTCGTTGAATTTCACGATCCTACATGGATATATCCATATAAGCCTATACATATATCCATGCAGTCCTATAAATATATAGATAAATAATAAATAGAATACACACACAAATAATATATATATATACACTATCCATATAATCCGATCCGATCCATATATCCCAAACAATCCTCCTCCCACTGCCACCCGTCCTTTTTCAGGAGCCGCTGTGGACTGTTGGCGCATGGCTTTGGCCCTCTTCCGCGAGGCTTCGGAGCGACGTTTGGTAGATGGTCTGTCGCGCACGTCTTTGATGGTGCCTTGGGGCTAAGGGGCTAAGGGGGGAGGGGTGAAAATGGGGAAGCACTGGGGAAACCTAGGTTTTTTATGGGGGGAATTTGGGGGGAGATCATGGGTATTAATATGGGTCATATTAATGTCAATACATAAATATATGTAAATTATGTATAATATGGGGCAAAACATCAAACTATGGGGAAAACCAGCTGGATACTTTAGAACCTTGATCTTTGTTCGAGTCAGAACCAACCTGATACATCCTGATACATCTTGATACATCCTGATACATCCTGATATATCTTGTTTCATCTTGATATTGTGCCCGATCGTGTCAGCTTTACAGTCTACTTGTACCCATCCAGCCCATGCACAAACGTCCTGAAGCCAGGTGGCTTTGGGGGAGCATGGAGAGTGGCAGAGGTGTTTGGAGCTGCTGGCGGTCTTTGAGCCCGATAGGGTGTGCTACAACGCTTGCATGAGTGCGTGCGAGAGAAGTAGCCAGTGGGAAGCTTCATTGATGATGTTCTCAGAGATGCTGCAAAGGGACATCTTTGATGCAGACACTCGGCCACATTTTGAGCTTCGAAACATCATTCTTAACATCATTCCAAACATCATTTGTAACATCATTCTTAACATCACTATTCAATGATTGTAGATGATGATAGTAAAGAGAGAGAGAGAGATGATTAATATCATCATTTTCATTATACTTCGAGGGGCTTCTGAATGTCTTTCGCCACCATCACCAACCCACTTTTTTAACCGGACCAGGTGAGCGTGACAACCGTCATCTCCTCTATGTCCAGAGGTCAGTCACTTGACCTCCACTGGGATGTTGATGGGTTCTGAAAATCTTGGAAAACACCCAAAATCACCCAAATTTCGCAGTTGAGAACATGATTTCCCCATTTTCCCCATACTTCCCACGGCAATTCTTGGGGGTGTCCTCCATGAGTTTCGCCCATCCCAGGCTGTGGCAGTTGGCACTGGCCACTTTTATGAAGATCGCCAGGCCAGGTGATGAGCGGCCCAAAGTGAAGGAAAAATCAGTGGATATCCATGTAAGAGGATTTTCCGATTTCAATTGCCAACATGGAAATCCCTTCTATAGTCTATATCTATATATATATATATTTGTATATTTCTAAGATGTACACAAAATATTCACATTTTTCAATTTCGACTTACAGATGCTGATACGGCATATTTTTCCCGTTGCACCTCGAGGGGTCCCAGAAGCTCCGCTTCTCTCAGCGACGAGTGCTCCACGGCGCTGATGAGTGCCTTCGCACGTGGCGGACAATGGCAGAGAGCGGGGCAGCTGATGGAGGAGCTGTGAATGACCCAAGGGGACTCAAGGTGACCCATCCTTACAATTCAACTACAGTGACTACAGCCTCTAGGGAACTGATCCGTGTTGATTTAATGTGGGCACCAAGTGCCAGTTGCTTCTGGAAGGGAGTGATGAAAAATATACCCTAGATGCCTAGATGATGAAACCTGAGTTTGAGGTCATGAAGCTTGAGCTCCAATATTTTTTGGATGGGATGAGTGGTACTGTAGGTGCCTGTGGTTTGAAGCTCTTGATCCAGCGGGAATGCCATGCAGGAAATGAGGCACCTGAACATAAAGGTGAGCACGGAGTGCTGCAACGCTGCCATGAAGGCAAGGGTTGACCGTCTCAGCCGCAGATCTCCAGTTGGTACTCCAAAACACCATGGAGCTACTGAGGGATTCCCAGTCAGTGGATTCATGTGGATTCTGTTTCTTCTCGCTCAGGCCTGTGGAGAGGCCGCACATTGGCCAACATCTTTGCTCCTCTTGGCATCCATGCAGTGGAGCGCAACACGTCGAAGCGTCATCAGCCTGAACTCCGTCATTGATTCATGCGCTCGAGGAAGCGAGTGGCAGTGGTCAGTGCTTTGGCGTTGGCAGCTTCAAGCTGTTTCTCATACACAGCGGAAACCAAAGAATTGCATGTAGTGAATGTAGTGCAGAGATTGGATGCAAAAAAACAACCCCCAAGATTTAAGACCAAAAAATCAGCAAAGTGTGGAAAATCAGCAATTGCGTCGAACTTTGTTGCAGGTGCTGCAGCTCACTCAATCCATTCAAGTGGATGGGATCAGTTTCAGCTCCAGCACGTCCTCCTTGGCGAATTCCAAGCTTTGGATGCGCGCTTTGGGGTTGTTGTGCACCATGGCTTGCGGGGCCTTGAGGCCACACGATGCCATGTATAATTCATTGACTGGTTCCTTGGAGAACTCTGGTCAATGGCCTTTCGCAAGCTCACTTTTGGAAGAGATGATCTGCACGAGGGTGTTGGAGACTTGCAGAAGTGCCCATTTCTTTTATCATTTTGTATCATTTTGTTACTTTAATCTCAGGGGCAGTTTGCCCTTTTAAAACTTTTTTTGGCTTCAGGGCAGGGCTATGTTGATTTTGATATTTTTGATGCCCAGGAATTCCCTCCCTCCCGCCGGTTCAACCCGCAGGATTGCAGTTCGCCCATTTCGTATGCTCTGGTGCTCACCAGGCTGAGCGAATCTCCCAGATGTTGGGCACGTTCTTTAGCCTTGGCATCACGAATGCCGACGCAAAAGAAGGATGGTCGATCCACCGTTGGAGCCATAAGCCACAAGGCTTTGGTGACGGCTTGTGCGGCGGCTTTGGAGCAGGCAAGAAGTGCGGGGATATATCGGATATGTTTGACATTTCTGAGGACATTTTCTTATTTATATAATTACTATTGGTCATGGGTCAGCAGATACTTTCCTTGATTCTTTTCGACTTGTGAGAAATCATGTGGTAAACCATAAGCCCAAGGACAGGCCATCCCTGATTTATGTACCGTTTTACAATTCGGGGTGGTGTTAAAGACCAAGGAGGTTTACTTTGTTACTTGGAGGATCATCCCACTTAGTAACTGGTAAGATAACCCACTTAGGGGATTTCAGTTTCCAAGTGAGATGGTCAGATGATCCTCCAAGGCGCCTGGCAATGCCTCGACATGGCGTTGGGCCGTGGAAGTCTTTGCTCCAAGTTCTGTGGCAGATATCCCTGCGACGGAGCAGTTGGCAAATGGTCTGGGGCGTGTTTGGCAGCACAGATCCATGGTGCGAGTGATGGGGGCAATGCCCTTTGATGACTTGCTTCTGCAGCTGCGAGACGCGCAGAAGTCCTGCTGAACTGGAAGGGCTTGGGGAGCAGTTGGCTGAGTTGCAGAAATGGGTATGGATGAATACCTATTAATACCATTTTTAGGGGGGATGAACATCCATTTACCAGCTATTTTGATGTTCACCAGGGGTACAAGGTTTTGACACACTGCCAAATGTTGACCAGTTTGCTCAACTATGAATGTGTGGGATCCGTTGGCACAGCCAAAACAAGGTTTTGAACTGCGCATCACCGATCATGATGCGCGCACATCATGTTCCTGCAATGTTGGGCGGCCGCTGGCAGGCAGTTCGTCGATTGGATATTGTCTCCGAGGTGCTGCATGGAGTCCCCCACCACGACCATCCTAGGGGATCATCGCCGGATTTTGGTGTTAGGCTACCAGTCTTTGATACCAAATGATTACCAATATGGTTTCACCTGGCAGGGATGATATGCATTGATCCAACCACGAACTGAGTCATTTGGATCGTTGGAAAACCTGGTGCCGTGAGCTACATGGACGCACATATGCCATCACGGCTTTTTGTTTGAGTTGGTCCCAGCAGTCTGTGACAGGCGCAGAATGCAGTTGGGAGTGTAACTGGCCTTAAAGAGCAAGCAGTGGCTTGGAGATAATTCAGATCTCGTTTACACACAGCTTGGTTGGTTTTGAGCGCTCAGTCTAGCTGCCATAGCTTGCTTCGTTGCAGGCACGTCAGCAAAAAGTGCTTTAGCAAGTTCTCTTAGCAGAGGGTGCTGCTTCCAAGCTTGTCTGAGTTTCTTGCAGTCACTATAGTGTCCAAAATATGACACCCGCAACTCACCACAAACATCTCTGTGATATGTTGTGATTACGAAGGGGGCCCCTAAGCGTCCCCTGACTTCCTGCCGCCTTCTGCGAGGATAAAAACTCGCGGGCCATCGGCAAGATCGTGCCTACCTGGCAAGCGGTGGAAGGCACGGCAGTGGACATGTGCCCCTCTGTGCTGGCGACCAAGGAGCCGTTGGTGATCCATTGATGATGCCTTGGGCCTTGGGTTGTGATGCGGGGTCCCATCTTGAAAGGGAAAACACCCTCCGCCAAAGTTCCCAAGATGATCTACACATCATGGATTTTCATGGATTTTCCACTATCCGGGTTAGTATACTGGAGAATACCAGCTGTACCCATGTTGAATCATGTTGGGTCGAAATAGTCCCTACGGAGCATGTGAGAATTGACAGGACACCATAAGCAACTTGAAGTGCCGCACCACGGAGTTTGTCAGCAAAGCTGGCCTTGGATCCTTTGTTCCCAGCGAGGTGTGCCGGGTTGTCATGAGGCCTTGGAGCCCTATGACTCAAGCCATGGAAGGTCATGCCAGCTATCTGAGTTTTGCCACGGTCAATTTCGATTCTTGAATGGGAATTCTGACGGTTTGTTTAACAGCTTTGGCAAGAACCATTGCTACTAGCCTTACTAGCCCCATCGGAGGTGAGCAACATCGTGGCTGGCTGCCCGGCAAATTTACCGAGCGCAGAACAAGCCATTGAGGCTGGTTGCCCGTCTCTTGGCATGGCAGTGTGAGGCATGTTGGTCTTGCAGATCTGCAGAAAAACAAGAACTGATGCCAATTTTTATTGGGTGAAGGTACGTAATCTATTCCTTTGCAGCAAGACCTAAAATGAACTCAATACAGTCTATATATACATACATACATATATATATACATACATATATACATATATACACACATACATACATACATACATACATACATACATACATACATACATACATACATACATACATACATACATACATACATACATACATACATACATACATACATACATACATACATACATACATACATACATACATACATACAGACATACATACATACATACATACATACATACATACATACATACATACATACATACATACATACATACATACATACATACATACATACATACATACACATACATACATACATACATATATATATATATATATTTACATATATAACCTCATAGTGAAGCACAGACTGCACCATGACCTCGGATATCAGTTGTTCATCTCCAAGGAAGGAGGCCTACTCTGCCAGTGTGAAAGATGTGCTCGGCGAAAACTCCAGTGTCCTGGGTTGGGCCCTGGCTGTGGGTGGTGGTGCTGCTGGCTTGGGAATCTGCGGCGTGGCAGGCCCGGGCGGCCAGAGCGGTCAGGGCAGCCGGGGCTGTGGAATGGGAAAACACGCTGGGGGGGTTTCCTGAGCCTTAACTTATTTCTTGGGGACAGCCTAGAACCATGAACTTCCCAGGCAAAACGGAGAGAGAGAGGAGAGAGAGAGAGGTGAACCCTTGGAGGTACCAAACTGCTGAAGAGCAAGGATGACGAGGATGAGACAGATGAGGACAGCAGTGGTCAGCCTTTGGCCGAAGAGTGAGTGCCCCCTGTGGAGTAAAAGGCTGCTGGCGTGTGTCAATGGCAGTAAGGGCAATAATCCCATCCCGCTAGTATGAAACAGCCAATAATGGTCGCAAGTATGTGTGAACCCCCCCTACTAAACCATTTTTTTTTTTAGGGGGGTGTTCAATAATAGGGGGACGGGATCATTTGTGTGCTATCAGACTCTGGAGAAGTGATGCGTTTTTTTTGGTCCCCTTGCAGAGGACATACATCAAACATTTTGCTGATTGTTTGCCGTCGCTGTGTTGCTCAAAGTTGGTGGTCCCAAATATGCCAAAATTCAGATGTTGTTGAGGTGACGTAAGCTTTGCATTTGTGGAAGGCATGACAAGGCTCCGAGATTCAAGGCGAAGCTGAAGACCACATGATTTGACCAGTTTAGACTATGCACTGGGACGTACCATTAGTTCGGAAACACAAAACTATCATATATACTTTATCTGCAAGTAGAACATGTGTAGATTCTAGATTTCGTATGCGTACCATTCATACCTCACACATTTGTGCCCTTAGCTGCGCGTGCCATCCCTTGCGATCTGGCGAAGGCACGGCCCCCCAGTGAGGGCGGCGTTCCTTGTGTTTTCTCCTCTATTTTTGGAAAACCTTCCCGTGGTTGATCGCCCAAAAGTGTTCTTCAACCTCCCCGAAATGCAAAACCACAGAAATAGAAGGAACCCTAAGCCTATACAGCTAGATGTTTTTGAATTGTTTGTTTTGGGACCCCGTCCTGTGAAGAAAAGCAGCATGGTATAGCGTGGTAGAAATCTGTTGCCCAGGCGGCTGATGAAGGGAATCGTGCGGCTGCACTGAGGGCTCAGACACAGGTGTGCCGCAGTGTCATTGTTGGGTTTGCCCAGTTGAGGCGGTGGGTTTCGTAGGGGGCTATGAGATGACAGTACTGTGGCACTCTGGTCCCATGACTGTCGCGGGAGGTGGCATGTCCGTCCTGTACTTGACCTGTGACCTCGTCCTTCACTTAGTTGCACCGCGATGGGTCAACAGTCAGTGGGACCTTACTATTGGAATGAGGCAGTTCCAGAAATGTACCATGCATTTTCAACACTTGGGAGGATGATTATGTAGGCTGAACAGCAGCATCGAGGAGGGAGTACTAATACTTGTATAACAGAGCAAACACTGAGAGATCATTGGCCAACAAACACCAGGAGGATCAAGAGAAAGTCTGTGGGACCGCAAGTTTAAAGTTCAAAGCCACCCCAAGGAACGTATGTCAGTATGAGTCCAATCATTGGTTTGAACCAGAAGCTAGACAGCCAATAGCAGCCAATAGCCCAAAAAATGAAATCATTCTATTGGGTAAAAATTCTTTGCCAACCACGAGATTTCATGATGTTTCATGAGATTTGCGGGTTTTTCCTCACTTTTTCCCAACAAAGCCATATTTGAGACCATCAACCACCCATAAAAAAGCCCCAAGATTGTTGGTTATATCATCCCATATCTCCAATGACATATCCTCATTTTTGCTCGTTGAAATTTGATATCTCATTTTGACAGGTTTTAACTTCTATGTTTTCCCTTTTTTAAGCATGTCTATGTTTTTCTTCAAATCATTCTTTTTCAAAAAAAAGCACTGAAGAAACGGTGCCTGGTGCCCATCCTAGACCTTTGGTCGCCCCAGGATAATGTTGTCTTCACCTTCACCGCAGAGGAGAAATCCACCTGGCAGTTTTCGAGGCTGTCCAACTTCCACCGAGACAATGGGAAGGACGGGGACAGCAGCTGGGAAATGTGGCGAGACCAACAAAAGAAGGGACCACAACCAGCCAACATGGGGAAGATCATGTATAGCATGTGGGTATATCATGGTATATCAACCGTTAATGACTTCTTGCTGCGGATTTGGGAGGCTGGCCTAGGAGGACTGTGTTGTTTGTGTGGGCGCCAGGACTGCTTCGTCTTGCGACAGGCAAGTGAAGGCAGCACTACTAGTGCGGTATCCCAGGCGGCAAAACCACATTCTGTGTCAAACAAATATACCCTGCCATTGCACGATATTCACCATTGGTTCTATGGATTTCTATGGTAAATAATCCGAGTTAGTCCGAGGTTTTTCTGGTCGCGACCAGTGCGAAGGACCTGATTTTTCCCATGTGTAGGACCTGATTTTTCAATACTTTTCATCTATCCAAAATCTATGCCTCTCTCCGGCTCAGGATGGGTTCTGGAAAATCAGACTGGTCAGCCGAGTGTCTTTGGCACCCCTAAGGACTACACCTAGGATAGGGCCTGGGGGATGTTGCTGATCCCTATCGTCAATCGGATTCTACTCCATTTAACCCGTTGATTATCATTTCCAAATTCTGATTCTGTTTTTACCTGTTTATTTGCGACAATTGGATTCCCGTCAGATTCCCATCATACTGTTGCTTTTGATTGGCTTCTACACCGTTTACTCAAATCTGTCTGCAGCTTCACGTCCAAGATCATGTGGCAAACCCACCCATACACCTCCAATGGGAGATAGATACAAGAATTCTCCGATTTGCAAACTGAAGATGCTTGTTGTTTTGGGCTGAGCATGCGATCGGCTAACCCAACAGAGATGGAGATGCAACCAGGAATCAGGGGATCCCTTGGCTGAATTCGAGAGGGCGATGGAGAGAGATACATGGTGGATTCCTGGTGGATTCCAATTTCGTAAACCATCCGAATACAGTACTCAAAAATGATGGTAACGATACTCTTAACAACACAAACACAGTAATAGCTATAAAGCACTATCGACAAGACACAATCAACAATGACAAGAATAGTAGTACAAGAGAATATAGGTTCCTTCCAACAAGATAGAAAAGGTTCAATTTTCTACTTTAGATTCCGATTTTACTTGTCTATTTTTTTTGGGGGGGGTACCCTCTGGTAAACTAACATAGCTATAGAAAATGGCCCATATATATAGTTGATTTACCTATTAAAGATGGTGATTTTCCATAGCTATGTTAAATTACCGGAGGGTATGTTGCTAGCAGTGAAATCCCGCAGTACTCTGGCCACGGACCACCTTTCCGCGGCTCACCTTCCCCTCCCCGAGGGATGCTTGGGAAGCCCAGAGAATTCACCGGTTTTGACGCGACTTTGTTGGGAGTTTCCTGTGGAAAAATAGGGTTTTCCACCCTAGAAAACACGATTTTCCCATGGAAAATATAGGGATTTATTCTTGAACAAATATATAAGGATTTCCACATGGAAGAATGGGGCTTACCTGCAAAAAATCCTATCAAATATTGGGGATTTATATGATTGTTAAATATGGAGATTTAGCCATGAAGATTTCTGATTTGGGGAGTTCCATAAACAATGGGGCACTTCAAAATCCATCAACATCCCATAGTTTTGATCACAGGGAAACGCATGGTGACTTGGGGTACCCCAAATTTGGTGAGTCTCCGGGCATCATCGGGTCCCAGCCGGGGGGATTTTTTCAGGTGGACGGTCTGGGGCTGCCCCTTTATTTTGTCGGATACGATGCCCCAAAGAGATGCGATTCCCTCGCCCTTCACATTCGAGGCCGTTGGGGACTGTGGACGTGGGATTTTTTGCAGCGGATACCCTCCGAGAATCTAACATGGCTGGAAAGTCAGGATTTTCAATGGACAAATCATTGATAATTGGATGTAAATGGCGCTTTTTCCAGTGCCAGCTTAGATTTCTAGATGGTAAACTATGTTGCACTTGGATGCTGACTTGGAGATTGTCTCATGTTGGTCTCACCGCCATTTCTGACCATGGCCTGAATTTCCGAGCTGGGAGGTGCCCTTTGCCAAGATGCACTTTCATGAAGAGGTGACAGTTGGGTCGGGTCAAACTGAGCTTCCAAACACGTCCTACAGTCGTCCACCAGGGGCGTTTGGGGTACCTCGACATCGAAGTTTTCAATGTGGGCATTGAGGATGAGCACTTGGTCCGGGCCTTGAGGAATGACGGGTCAATTTTTTGGGGAAGCAAGGCGCCCCCAGTCGCCCCAGTCGTGGTAGATGATAGGTTTGATTTCCCCAGTCATGCTAGGAACATGTAGGAACTGGGTTTCAATTGCATTTGCCAAGGATGAAATACTGCTCACACTCAGGCGCGAAATTCTGGGCTTGCAGGGAAAGGTCAAGGAACAGAATCCTGTTGCTCAATCTAGTTTATGTAGTATCGGGAATGTATATTATATTGTATTTAATGTCTTTTAGTAGTCTCAACCCAGAACAATTCGATCTTATTCAGCTGGAATCAACCGGTGGCCAGGAAGGTGTTGGTCAATCTGGCGCAGCGCCCAGAAATGGTCCGGACACCCTGGAAACAGCCAAAGTAGCGCAGCTATCCCCGTGGCCCAATTCCTGAGCTGCAGGTGCTCCTACTTCGCACCGATGCGCGGGCAGCGCCAGCTGCAACCACAGGGGGTGCACTGCGCAAGGGCAGCACTCGAAAGTGCAGTTGGTCATCATATTTTCATGAAGTATGAAGTCCTTTGCAGACTTCCCCGTGGCCTCAAAAGGGTGTGTCTACCGGTTTACCCAAAATACTCCAAAATGGATCTCTAGTGGGGAAAATGAGGCTAAACCATCAACATTTCAGGGGTTCGCCCTGGCCTTTTCCAGCACTCAGATGCCTTCCATGCGGCATGTGCGAAAGTTCCTGGCATTTATCCAGAAGGACGCGTATGGGGCTAGGATGGGACATGAAGATACGAGAAAGAGATGTTATATCGAGTAGTTTATGCCTGCGGACCGAAAACCGTTCCCGTAAAACGCACGTTTTTGAATATCGCGATTGTGGGGTGGAGTGGGGTGGGGTGGGGGGGGCATGTTAACGTTCCTTGTACTTCGTACATGATATATTGCCATGCTGCTGAGATCTCTGGGATCGTTTACTACGTTACATGTTGCTACGCTGCTGGGGTTGGGTGGGGTGGGGGGGGGGGGGCATTTTAGGTTTGTCTTCGTGCATGATATATTGCCTGCTGCTGAAATTTTTGGGAATGTTTACTTTACTGTTTATGGGTATTGGGGGTGGTGGGGGGGTGGGGGTCTGTTAACGTTCCTGTTACTTCGTACATGCCATACTATTGCTTTACGCTGCTGAGATCTCTGGGATCGTTTACTACGTTACATGTTGCTACGCTGCTGAGATCTCTGGGATCGTTTACTACGTTACATGTTGCTACGCTGCTGAGATCTCTGGGATCGTTTACTACGTTACATGTTCTATGTGGAATCTGATGAAAAAGTCGATTCCCAGCAACTTGAGTGCCAAAAGTGACTTCTTGATGGTGTATGCTAGAGTTTGGCAATGGAGATGCATTCGCAAGAATGCTGACCGCCAGCTGATAACGGTGCATGCGTTGCAGCGATGACGCTGAAAAGTCAAAACGCGCGCCCCAAGTTTTTCCAAGATTTCCAATCATCAAATCAGCACGGCACTGTGGTAAAATCGTCATTTTTTTAAAAAACGCGCGTTTTATGGGCACGGTTTCCGGTCCGGCGGGTAGTTTATGCATGTATAGATACATACACATGTGTATGTATACATAATTATACAATATATGCACACACACATACGTACATGACAGTACATTACGTAAACATTACATCAGATTCGCGCGTAGGTATGTACATATATATATATATATATATAGGTATGTACATACATACACGCACACACACACACATATATATATATATATATACATATGTGTATATATATATATATACACATACACACCTGTATACCAGAGAGAGAGAGACACACACACATATATATATATATATATATATATATATGTGTGTGTATATATATATATATACAAATTTGTACATGTATGATGTAAATACACAACATATTTGCGCGTGTTCCCATATTTGTTTCACTTATTCGTTGGGCTGGCGATCCGTGTGACTTCTGTTCCCCAGGAAGTGGGCACTGAGTGTGTGCTGGTGGGCCGAGGGAGCGCCATCGTTCTGGCCGCCGGGCATCAGTTGGACGTCTTCAACTTTCATCAGCGGATAACGTTCGGTCATCAAACATGGCATTGGGAAACCCACAATAAATGCAGGTTTGAATGGAAAACTCATACTGTAAATGGGCGATTTTCCATTGCGCCGGGGGGCGGATGATATTCCTATGAAAAACGTTTCCAAAAAATTGATTAAGTTATGCAAGTGAATTCCAAATCTCTGTTTGTTAACATTGTGTTTTTGTTTTGTTTTGTTTGTTTGTTTGTTGCGTAATTGAGTCTGCATGCCTGGTTATATCCACCAATGGTTTCCTATTAGAACAACATTTTGTGGATGATCATGGGGTCCGCCAGACTTAAGAACCACTATTAATGTGGTAAAACCAACCATAAAACGATCCTCACTATCACCATAAATGTCCCCAAATGGTAGGTTTATTATTGGCATTATCCCGGTTGCTGTTCTGTTTAGTGTCACTCATCCCCTGCACTGAGGTTCCAAGTACTTTCTTGGGTACTGCGGTGCTGCGTCTGTGTTCCCAGCTTCCCTAACCGGACCTAATACGGCCCGTTGAGAGCACATTTCAGCAAACATGATAGACATTTCCATCGGGCTGAAAGCTACAGGAATTCTTGATTTCAGGATGAACAATTTGCAGGAAACCATTCGTGTTTGTTCCCGCTCACCCCGAAAGACGGCTGATTCTCCCTTGATCCAAGTATTAAAAACCGAGGTTTAGTGCAGCTGGTGCAGCGGATGTTACCAGCGCCTTATCCACAAGCCATTGTGGCAAGCGTGGCCTGGATCTCAGAGATTTGCGGAGACAGGTGGACGAATCAACAAGATCAATGGGAGACATATTCTTAGACAGTAGATAACATATGATAAAATAGCCAAAGAATACCTGGATACCTTTGAATGTTAGGATTCAATTCAAGACCTTGCAGTGTCCTGTAACCGTTTCCAATTGAGTGCCTTATCACAAAAAAAAAACCGCAGCTGTTCCTGGGCTGGAGGAGGAGGCGGATGCCTTTTTGGCCAACATTGCCAAGGAGAACGCTGTGGAAGTTGCTGGGACACGGAACATTTGAACCTCGAAGTTCCCAATTCTCCGCGGGGTTGAAATTTGGAGGCACCATGTTTTTTTTTTTGGACGGATTGTTCAACATTCCTTGCTTGGGAATGAACTGTTTGAACTTGGGACTTGGGGAAGTTGCGTGAAGTTCCTTGAACAAGAAGAACTATTATAAAATATTATAAATAAATAAATAAATTAAATAAATTAAATAAATAAATTAAATAAATAAATATAAATAAATAAATGTATATATATATATATGTGTGTGTGTGTCCCTATTGAAACTATTGAGGGTACCTCAAAATCATTTGGGGCCTTCTGTTGCCAGGAGTATCCTGCTATGGCGCACCCTGAGGAGTATCCTGAGTCGCCGGTAGATTTGCGGAACGAGGTGCAGCATCCAATGGCCCTGACACCACATATGGGACCATAGAATGGGGAAACATCAGGATGGGAATCCGCTGCTCCAGTAACTCCAGTGTTCCCATCCCATTTTAAGTGCCAAGCACACATTAGAATCATTAGGCGATGTTTTTCGCAATGTGAATAGATTTGCGGATGTGGGTGCGATCATGTTTCAGGTTGAGCGACGAGAGGTTCCGGAAAATCAAGCTCAAGCCTCAGGGAAGCTACTCGAGGTATGGGAGGTTGCCGAAGCTCTAGCTATTGGATGCGTTTTTTTGGTCCTTGCCCATTTATTGTAGAACTACCGAAGAAGAGAGAGAGAGAGAGTGAGTCACTCCATGGCCATGCCTTTGGACTCTTGTCCGCAGCTGTTTTCTCCCAGCTGTTTTCGGCCAGCCGCGGGCGATTGCGTCGCTGCCTTGGCAAACAGCTCCAGCTGTTGTTCGAGCGAAAACCTTTGTCGGAAAGACTGCTAGTAGGAATTGGGGGCTTAACGCCCAATGTGATGCAGATGCAGATAGATATAGCAGAGAGCGAGAGAGAGAGAGAGAGAGGGAGAGAGGGAGAGGGAGAAAGAGAGAGAGAGAGAAAGAGAGAGAGAGAGAGAGAGAAGAAAAGTCGTGTGTATATACTGCACACACACACATGCAGAAACACATACACATACATAATATATATATATACACATTATATATATATAATACAAATGCATAGATCTAGATGCCCCTTTCATATCACGGGCTCATTGGCATGGGCTCGCGAGGTTTGCGGAGTTTTCTCAGCATCAACGATTTCTCTCTCTGGACGTGTTAGTTTGCATCAGAAGATTAGGTGGATGGGATGTCTACAGAGCCTCGCTGCTGATAGGCGCCCTTGAATGTATTGCAAAGATGAACATCAGAACTGTGCTATTCTGGTTGAGTGAGCGGTGCTGGAACGCTCTCATTTGTGAGAATTTCAAAGTGTTGCTGTGAATGCAGGCGCGTTGGGCTAGATGAATGCCTTGAACATGTCATAAGTTGTGCGCTTAAGAAGTGTTTGGAAGATTCAGGGTCTCAACAGCACAAACCAATAAACAAGTCTTGAAGTCTTGAGGTTTTGAAGTCGCAGTGCTGTGCAGCAAGACCATTGCGAGACAGCCGCCCAAAAATCCATTGCTTAATCATCATCATCATCATCCCGCCTAAAATAGCCATGACTGGGTAGTGTGTGCACCCCAAGTGGCCCAAGTGACACACCAAACCTAGCCACCCAGTTTGCTTTGACTTCTTGTACTACATGTAGAGCAGTGAAGCGCAGCGCTTCAACTGTTGCAATGTCGCTGTCGGGCAAGCGGGGTGCTAGTGCTTCAGGGTCCAGGCAGGATGTTGGTTGATGGTGAAAAAGATCAGAAGGTCCAAAACCACAGATTTACCCATGGATATCCATGGATGATTTTGATGAACCCGTTCAATCTGTTCAATCCCAAAGCGGGATGTTGGAATTTCAGGATTCCAAATTCATCGAATTCCATGGCTGATGCTGGTACTCTTACCGCCCATTTCATGGCAGTCCACCACCTGTCTGTTTGAATGGCGCAAAAAGGATAGCTGATCAACCCAGAGAGTGTCTTGAGCTCATGCGTAGGATTGCGTAGGTATAAGCAAAATTTGATATAGCATATGACAACCATGGATAAAAATCTGATAAAAGTAAGAGAGTGATAAATCGTGACTAACAATTGGTCGCTATTTGCTCTTGCTGGCCAACAAGTATCCCAGTAATGTAATTACCCATTCTTACTAACTGGGGTTTATTCATCACAGATTAACATTAGTGATAACACCCATGAATCCCACCAATCAGCCAACATATGTTCCATTTATATCCATTTATAGATGTTCATCCCGGATTCATCCTATATATCTAAAATGGCCCATTGAGTTTATGGTGATCCATCAAAAATGGCGATTTTCCATAGTTTTTTTTCCTCATTATATTCCTCATAGAATTGGATTATGGGAAAATTTACAGGAAAGCCCTATATTTGATGGTAAAAACCATGGTTTCCTGTAGATTTTCCCTTAAACCAATCCAGTGAATTCCCCATAGTATCCCCATGGTGGGGGCTGGTGCCCCTTTCTCCAGGCCCAGCAGCAGCACCAGCATCGCCTCACCTGCACGGAAACGCCCGCGGGCAGAGGAGGAGGCACCTGGCGCTGGAAAGGTTCAAGTCATGGCAGGGCTCACCCGGAACGTGCTCAACATCCCACGTTTTGCAGCGATGTATTTTTCGTATAATACTGGTTGGTGGTTTCAAACATTTTTTATTTTCCATAATATATGGGATAATCCTTCCCACTAATATTTTTCATAGGGGTTGAAACCACCAACCAGAATATATAGAACCCATTAGAACCCCCTGATTTATAAACCCAGCTTGATCGCGAGGGGTTCCCCAAAGAAGCTTTTCATTTGCTACTAAAAATGGTTTTGGCCCCCCAATGATCAGCATCTGGGGTTGACATTAATAATCCAAGTTGTTGCTGTTCGTTGTTGTTGAATGCCCAGCGTTTGGACACGTCCCTGACTCCCAGGTTCTTGTGGAACCAGAGGAAGAACCTGATGATGTCATCCTGGTTTCTCGTTAAAATCGGAAGTTTGGGACTCCAAAAATGGTCGGACGTATGACACCAATGGTCATCCAAAACAGTGTCTCAAATTTGTTTGGCCACTTCTTTTCGTAGTCACATTGGTTGGTTGATTGTTGGTGGCAATTTCCAAAATAGCCATGGTTTTCCTAAAATAGCCATGGTTTTCCTGAAATAGCCATGGTTGATTCGTGGCTGTACTTCAAACATATCGTCTGAAAAGCCATGGTTTTCGTCCCCCATTGAAACACGTGTTGTGAGTCTTCGCACAGGTGCAGGAATCGCCCTCCACTGAGACGGAGCCTTGTCTGATGGGCAGGGCTGATCTCCTGGAAGGGGATCCTCCCTGCTTCGTGCATTGCTTCATGGCACAGACGCATGCATATCCTGTGTATGTATATATATAATATATACATGTATATATACACACATGCATCTTTCTCTCTCTCTCTCTGTATATGGATCTATTTGTTTATCTATTTATCTATTTGTGAAACGATCCACCTTTTCTATCTATGCGCCACATCCCCAGGTTCCCTGCGAGTTGTGCGGTGCCAAAGTGGCGTTTTCCGAGTTTGTGGTGCACATGTCTATTTGCCAAGAGCGACCCCAGGACGCGGAGTGCACCTGGGGGACTTTGGGTCGGAACTTTGGGACTCTCTAAATACTGTAGCTGTAGTTTTTTTTTTGGGGGTGGGGCAATGGAAAGTCCCTCAGTTTTAGATGGACATGCGCACATGAATTTTAAATATGTTTTTTTTTTTTCTCATTTTTTCCGCACATATAGATAGATATGCGGTGCAATTGAATTTAGGGAGTTCAGTTCCCATTGATCGATCGCGTTTCTGGGTCAGATATTTCCAGATGACAAACATTCGTTGGAATTCTGCTAGGCTGAAGTGCCAGCCGCTGACAACTCAGAAGACATCACCTGCGATGTGTGTGGTGAGAACTGTGGCAGCACTTGACTGGCAGAATGGGTATGTTGTGTCCCTTTGGCTTTGTTGATGACACCCTAATTCTGACCTTGAAAGTCAGGAAGGGTCTTAGAGAAACAAATTGGGCATGAGATGCAACTCACACGATGCACAGCTGCCACTTGTCCCCATTTTGTCACTCGCTCTGGCGAAGTGCTGAGGATTGTTCCCTTCAGCAGCTTCGTGGAGCATTCCAAGAAGCATAGCTTCTCAGCTCCAGCTGTAATTCCTCAGAACTGGGACTCAACCATTTTTGAACCATGATTGGATATCCATTGGATTATCACTAATGTTTCCTATATATATCACAATTTATTGGTATCTATTGGATAAGATAATCCATTGATAATTCCCGATGATTCTTCTACCACCCCAACTTTCTATTTGATTCTACCAGTGGAAGTTTAAGCCGCGCCCACAATGGCTGACATACCCAGGTGTGGAGGATCAAGAGGGTGCCGCCTGCCAGCTTTGTGGTGTTTGGCCGCCTCGGCTAAAAAAAATGGGTCGTGTACACGACCACTGGAACCACTTTTGGAACCCCTTAAAAGTGCCAGACATCCAACAGGGAGCTTATCTTCCAGACCTAATTTTTGGGGTCCAATATGAAATCCGGGGAGCGTAAGTGAAAAAATAAAGCACGGAACAGGTTCTTTGACACTCCTGGTCCAGCTCCTAAGGTCCTAAGTCTTGAGTGGTCGGAGAAACCCTATATAAATTCTTTAGTCAAACTCAAACAATCTTTTTGATGCTTAACTAGTACGAGCCCAGAGTCTTCACATCATGATCATCATGGACGACAAACGTGGGGTGGACCTTTTGAAACAGTGTGAAGCATCACCATCCAGGCTTGGAGCCAAGGCTTCTTGGCTGCACCATCGGGGAGTGGATCGTGTTTTTTTCCCTCCGGATAGACCCCATAGCTGCGATAGTAGATCCAGATGATCCATTCCAGGAGGAGATTCCCTCATGATTCTTTCCCACATCTAGGAAACACTCCCGGTTGAAGGTTGGACCCATTTTCCAGCTTCCGGACTAAAATGCACGGCTTTCTCTTGGGTAGATTTTGGGATCACAATTTTTGGCAACCTCCTACATCACCAAGATTAAGCGTAGTCGAAATGCACATTGTTGAAAACTGTTCTTGGCTACTGATGGGCCCCTTGCAATTTTGAACGGATCCTGGGCACTTGAATCCTAGACAATCTACAGTTAGGCCCCATTGACATCTGCCAACTGAATGGTCCATGGTTACAGCCTAAGGAGTTAGCAGACCACCTGGCTGCGCACAAAGTCCATGATCAGTGGCTGGATAGGGAGATGAAGAGTTCCACTTCGGCAGTGGACATCACCGTGGGGGGACCTGGGATGATTTCGCCATGGCCTTGGGGGCCAAGACCTTGGGTGGATAGGCTGATGTGAACCGAGGGCCCCAAGACGAAGTTGGGAGGGCTGGAGTTCAGCCCTGTTGGATCCATATTTGCTCCATATTTCATCCATAGTTGACCCCTTTGCGCCACGTTCAGGCGCAACTGGTCGAAATGGCCCGTGCTGGTGGTGCTGGCTTGCCGGGCAATCGAAGCCACGTGGCAGTAGGTGTGGGGCCAGGGAAAACACTGGCAGATCCAAAATCTTATCAGGGTTGGTCTGAACATAGAGTACGCCGTACGCCCCTAAATTTGATGGTTAGTCATCATTTTCTCCAAAACTGCATTTCCGATCCATTTTGTGCACACCCAACTAGGGAACCCGGAGCCTTCCACAGGAGATGCGGTTCTGGTCCGCTGGTCCGATGGCCGCTGGTACGGTGGCCACGTCCGTGCCATGCCGGACGTAGGGGACGGCGGGGGCGGAGAGGAGAAGATCAGCGTGGCCTGGGACCCACCATTTGCGCAATGGGCGCCAGAGCGTGTGGCAGAGCATGCTGTGATCCCGCGGATGAATCAACCCAGGGAGGTGTGCAACTTTGATGTGGCCCTGCAGTTTGTGAAGCTGGAAGCTGATTTCAGACGATTTTTCCTGGTCAAGTTCCGTTGCGGCGTATTTTTTCTAATTGCGGCGGAGGTTTCTCATATACCTGACAGTATATATACATATGTCTGTAGAATTGAAGGCTTATTTCGTATGCATGTGCGCGGACTGATTGTATACACATGTTGATTCTCATACGCATGCTGTACAAGGTGAGTACGCATGCACTCGTATATGCATTGTACTTGTGCCAGATAATTGCGTTGAAAGATGATGCAGAGACATTGATATGGAAGCAATGTAAGATGAAAGTGGATAAGGAGATGAATAGAATAGAAAATGCAATCCCCCAAATCAACATAGATCCCCCAAATGGGGTTGGACGCTTGCTTTACACAAATGACGGCTATTTTCGGGGTCTATGTTAATTTACCGGACATCCCTTGTAGCATTGAGGAAGAAGCTGTGCTCCATGAAGGATCGCAGCAGCAAAGCGACGAAGCTGGAAGTTGTATACCATTGGACTGGGGAGGAAAATGTTCAGAAAATTGTTGAGACTTGGCTTAGACTGGGCCCAATTTTTACACCACTTGGCCGAGATTTGTGTACCACAGAACTGAACTTGAACGCTTTTTGCAGGTCACTCTAGGGTCTTAATGATTAAGCTAGCTAGCACAGCAGATCTTGCCATGATTTGCCGAAGATTTTCAAAACGCAGCATTTTTTGACGGACCTTGGACAAGGAGAACAACTTGAAGACCCCTGGATCGACCAATGCGGATGGCAGCGCCGTACCTTTTCACAGTTTTTGGAAAGACAGCAGTGTTCCAACATCGACACAGGATGACACAGGGACAAATGGACATTTTTTGGTATGGGGTAATGGAACTCGTGCCATTGGTTTTTTGGACACAGCACCATTTGGGCTTTTTTTTTTTACCACAACTTTGCAGCTGCTGTGCTTGTAAAATTCGCTGAGGTTCAGCGCTTGAACGGCGACGCCTATGGCAAAGGCATCTATGCTGCTACAGATCTCAACTACGGGAAAGGCTTTGGCCGCATCTTGGACGAATTCAATGGATTGGTTGAAAATGTTGAAGCGAATATCTTGATGGGATTTGATGGGAAGCCATTCGGAAAAACCATGTTTTTTTTTCGAAACATCAGGATTTCCAGGGTTTCCTGCAGATTTGGCTAAGCCAATTCTGGGAATGGATGGATTCATGCCGTCCATGCTTTCTCGTTGGTACTTTGATCTAGCAATGGATCCATCATTCCATTTCTCACTTTGATCTAGACATTTTCCTAAAAAGGCAATTCCAATTGTACCATTCGCAAATGGTACAATTGATTCCCAGAGGGTCCAATGGCTGGTTTGAGGCGGTCTCAGCTGTGCGTTTCTGTGCCTGGCGATTCCTGGACATATGAGTCAAAGTCAGACTATGAAGCTGTCAAGTCGCGATGATAGTCCCTCGGTTGCAAGGCTGGGGCAACCCTGTTTGGCCACAGAAACTTGTTGCGTTGAACGTCGGCGCTGAGGCTTTAAGCATGGTCCCCTACGAGTGTACCGGACCTCGGAACAAGTACTTCCACTATTCTTCACGGATCCATGGCAGAGAAGCAGTGCCACTAGAAAAAACATGATTCAAGGAAAGATAGGAAAGTTTTGCGCACATCTTTTAAGCTTTTTGTTAGTCCACTTGGGGGGCCTGGAGGCCACTCCCTGCTTGTTTGCCATCGTCAATGTCGAAATGGGTTAGTTGGACCTGGCCAAGGACTCCAACTCATCTGCAAAGCTGGCTGAGTGCGCCTGGGACATCGCCGACCTTTTGAAGGACGGCACCGATGGAATTTGCCAAGACCATTCGGCGTTCCATCTCAAATTTCCGGGGCTTGGAGGCTACTCCTTGGATGTTACTCCTTCCACTGTTCAGCCTGTTCAGCGTGGCCTTTCATCTGCGATGTGAAATTGTGCATCACAGCCACTGCGTTGCGGAGGAACGAGCGCTGGGGCAAGTGAAAGATGAAGCGGACTCTTGTTCACAGAATTGTTGGCGTAGCCGTGTTCCCATTGATCCGTGGCATGTGGTGCCAGGAAATGGTGACTTCGCATTGACTGACCCGCCAAAGAAGTGACCCCGCTAAAATATACTGCAGCTAAGCGCTTGAAATCCTGCAGCAAACACCCCACAAACCTTACCCTGTCAGTATGGCGTGTCATACTCTGCACAAATGGCTGGTAGCACTTGATGAAGCTCAGGAGTTCAGGAAGGGTGCCCGGGTAGAAGCTCTCTGGCAAGGAGCATTCTGGAAGGCACGGAACATCATGGGACATCTATGAAAATGTGCATGTTTAGTCATACTTTGCTTCAAACTTGGGGAGTTACCCTTTGGAAATCAAACACGTCAATGGAACATCCTCAATTTATGGATGTTTTTCCTATTGAATGCCTGTGAGGATTTCCCATTGCCATGTTTGATTTCCGAAGGGACCTGGGAAGAGCAGAAGTTGAATATCTTCAGCACCAATTTTCCCAGGCAGAGGTATGGCACGTGCACCGTGATGGCACGTACGACCTGAAGTGGCAGCATCCGTACCATTTCTGGCCCGCAGAGCTTCGAGTGTCTCCCGATCGGCTGCGGAGATATGATGAGTCCTAGCGCCGAATCCTAGTTGCAATGCCCAAATCTCGGCCGATGCTTACAGGGGCCATGATCCAAGGTGGTTAGTTGTTGGGCCTTAACTATGCCCATATGGCCCATATGGGTTGGTTCATTGGGGCTGTCAATGCGAAGAAGGTTGGCTGCCAGAAGGGGTCCCCCAATGGCTTATATTTATCTTGGTGGGCTTGGACACCTCCCTTTTTTTTTGGACTAATGTAATACTTATATATATATATATATGTGTGTGTGTATACATATATATAGAGATCTCTCTCTCTCTCTCTATACTATTATATCGTACTAGTAACAGGAAACCTGTCAGTAACTCTTACATGGGGATTAACCTTCCTGTTGCGACACCGTGGAATGGTTTGGAGCACATGTGTGAGCGCACGGTGCGGAATTCACCCTGCTGCTCCATGAAAGCAGCAGGGTGTTCACTTTTAAGCTGCAGTTTCCCTTGGTCTGTGTGATCGGGGTTCTCACGCCAAAAAGCCGCAGCACCAGCAGCAACTCATGGCAATTCCCCCCAAGTCCTGAGATAACCTCGCCATGCGGGAATAGACTGGACCCACAGTTGTGCCATTCCTGATCTTTGGGGATCTATTTGCCCATCATTTTTCTGGAATGACCGCTGCAAAACCACCAAGCCAGCCATTGCAGGCGAATCTCACCAGTAGGTGTTGCTGCCATGGTTTGACATGTCAAACGTGTGGTGACAACTCAAAGGCTAGAGGCAGACAACTCAAACGTACATACCCAGAGACCTTGGTTGCACCTGGGTACACACTGGGAGAGAGAGAGAGAGAGAACGCACCAAGCCACTCTTTTTGGATGTCTGGATCATGACCTTGAGTGATTGTAGACACTTGGCTCTAGCCAGACAACATCACCGCCAGACGAAGGGCATGCAAATGTGTCGTGTTCCCCCTCAGGATTTTGATGAACTTGGGGATTGCTAGTGCAGAATCACTTTCCAATTGTTGTCACTTGGCTAAAGCCCCCCAAAAAATCCAGTGTCTACCCCCCAAAAAGCCCATTCAGGATGTCTTATACTGAACCCTGGTCCCTTAGAACAATGATTTGTTGTTCTCGGGCTCTCGGGCATTTAGTAATCCAGAGCCGGCAAACATACTTCATTTTCTCCAGCATAACTGAGGCATCTTAGGCCTCCTCCAGCATAAGCAGCACGGGTTCTAGGTTCTGACAGCTCGAAGGAGCCAGAAGCATCTTGGTGCATGATGCCATGGTGGGTACGCTGGAGGTACAGGTGGTGGAGTGCTTCCAAGTCAAGTCGACAGGTGGGGAAACCATGGGAAACCACCTGGGGTACTGTAGGCAATGGCCCTGGTTTATTTGCAATTTTCAATGAAGAAACATGAGAAAAGCAGGTAATTAGAAACTGATTTTTGGGGTAAGACATGGTTAGACGAGTTTTGGAGAACCCCATCGTCATGACAAGCTCCAAAGGTTGCAAGCGGTATTCACACATCATCCTTCTGAGTTTTATACATATCCTGAAGGTTTTCCAGCAATATTCGCCCGTGCTTCCCTCAAACAGGCAGCCTGTTCAGCGGCAACAAGCTCTTTGTGAATGTGAAGTTGGATGGCGTCGAAGCCAGAAGTGCATCGCTGCCGGAGGCCATGATTAGCTGCGCCCTTTGAACCCCTTTGGGACAAACATGACCCATACATGACCCATTTGCAGATGATGATTTCAGGCTGCTGGTGGGGTTCGCTGGGACTTCTCCACTCAGATGGCGTGCCCACAACATGCGGCAACTTGGACGCGCAGCCGTCGTTGCATTGAACCGTTTAAATGAAACATGTCCCAATGGGAAAATGTGGGAACTTAGCCATTTAAGATAGATAAGATAGCCATTTTTGGAAAATGTGACACTGTTTTCAAATGTTTTCAATGGATCATGGGGGATTTTATACACGGCCGTTTGAAACTGCCTGCCAGAGAACAACAGTCTTTCCGTTCAATTCTTATAGGTTTTTCGTGCTAATTTCCCCTTGACCACATGAGGCAAACCTGGAGTTGCAGCTAAAGCGCGAAGGAGAGACGAAGAGACGCACAGCCGTTTGGTGCTGTGCAAATCTAGGGCCGTAGAAGTGCACATAAACTTATATATCATTTATGGATATTCAGATCTTCACACCTATGCAAATGGATGCATGTTTGTGTTTTTTTTTGGTTGTTTTCGATTTACATGCATGAGGATTTTCACCTCTTCACAGAATCAACATATGCCACGGTATGCAGGGCAGGAGTGGGAGTTGGTTTTCAACCAGGACTCTTCTCCCCACACTTTGTGGGGGGCTGTTCATTGCCGCTGCAGCAGATCTCTGGCACTTTGGAGCAGGAGCTTTGCTTTGGGAAAGGAAGTTGTCCATAACGGAACAACAAGATGGAAGTGCAAGCTTCTACCAGGTCTACCAGGATGTACCCCTACCAGGTTTGCCAGGTTCTACCAGGTTCTACCAGGTTCTACCAGGTTCTACCAGGGTCCACCAGGTTACCAAAGCCTTTGCCAAGCTCGTTCTAAAGGAGGTGCCATTGTGGGATGGCTCGCGCAGCGAGGTGGGACGTCTGCGGATCTGCATCTCGAAGTCAGGCCCCAAGACTGGACTCATGAACCTGGCTGGGTCGCAGATCGTGTCAGGCGCGGGGAAAACGAGACACCACTGGCTGGATGATTACATGGGGGATAGTCATGGTATAGTATCCAATAGCTAGGGGACTATCAATCATGCTCCGAGTCTCAGGATATCTCTAGTTTATTCTAGTTTGTATTCCTTTTTTGGGGTGATTGTATCATATCATATCGTCAGAATCACCCCAAGCTCTCTTTTTTTCTAGTTTTTTTTTTGGGGGTTTATTTGTCCACGGGCTTGGGGGTCACCTTGGAAAACCAGCGTGGCATGGCTAGACATACTATACATATCCTGAAATTGGTTGCACCATCTCAGTAAATATAAATCCCAATGATAATATATAGTATAGTATAGTGTAACAGTGTATAGTATATAGTATATAGTATACTGGCGTGACTATAAATCCCTACCAGTTGGTTGAGTTCCCCCAGTAGGCCACGCCTCCCACAGGTTCGGATCGCCCTGCCCTGACGCCGGCGCCTACCCAAAGCCTCGCCGGTGGCTTGGTGAATCGCGCCAGTGTCGCGGCGGGCTCGTTGGGCACGGTGGGGTCCAGCCTGGAGAACTACGTGGGGAGCCCAGTGACCGTTGTGGGACCCAAAAAAAGGGAGGCTCGGGGGGTCCAACAAAAATTGCGATAGAGAAAGCCACACAAAATGTGGGGACAGCCTTCCGCAAAAGCCACAGAAAATGTACCATAGAGGATGGGTTTGATTCATAGGACATCCAAATCTTGGGCGAGATCCCAAGGCACGCTCCGCCACCACGGATTTGGAGAGCCGTCCTGCGTTTGCCCGAGGTAGGGCTGACATGGCTACGTTTCGGGTGCCCTGGGTGAGCCCTGACATTTGGATTTTGTTGGATATATCATTCCGAATCATTCCTATTTTGGATATAATGTCGTATACCCAACAAGAACAAACCCCCAAGATTACCATGCTTATGGGTGGTATAAACTATCCCCAGGGTCATGGTAGTTTTATGGCATTGGGTTGCCCACAGTCACATTATCCTGTATATCGACCTGACCACATTTACGAACTGTTCCATTCAAAACGGCTTCATTTCTTCAAGCCCTTGGCCAATCTTGGCCAGGTTCGAGCCAGGCGTTGGCCAATCTGGCCGCTGCCACTGGCATGCAAGTGTTGAAACAATTTCTTACAACAAATCAGACCAGATGACCAGAGTCCAGATCTTTCAAGCCTTATTCCGTTATTCCCAGAGTATCTACTTCGTTGAGATGAGTTCTGAGGTGTTGTAGTGTGTTGGATCAACAATCCAATCATCCAATCAGTTGCCAAGGCCAGGGAGGACGGGAGCCGCCCAGATGCGGTGCGTCGCGCCAATGAGCTCCTGGTGGAGGCGAGGCTGGAGTAGCAATCCATGGGAAATCCATGGGAGATCCGTGGGACATCCATGGGAAATGCGTGGGAACCCATGGGAAACCATCATTTAAGATAGTGTGTTTTTCTTTTTGGGGGTGTGAATTCAGCCGTAAAATCCCAATTTGAATCCCCATATTATATATATGTATATATATATATTCAACAGCCCAAAGAACAGCCCAGGTAAAAACGGAATCCCTGGCTCAGGTGGATCCCTTTGACGCCAGTCGTGAGGAGCACCGCCAAAAGCTGGCGCAGGCAGTGGAGCGTTTGAGGCGGGACGTGGTGGCTTCGAGATGCCTTGGAGAAATTGATACTTTTTTTTTTGGGGGTGTTATTAGGATAAAACATATTGTAGATAATGATTATGTTTTTTTTTTTGCTCTCTCTCTCTCTATATTCTCCCTCTCTCTCTCTCTCTTTATGCTGCTTCTGCTTCTGCTTCTTGTTCTTGTTGTTCTTCTTCTTGTTCTATGGGGCGGGATGGGCTTGAAACGAAATAGAGTAAGTCTGCGATCTTTTTCCTCTGGCCCCTTTTGAAGCCCATATTGGGGCTGTGCCCAAGTGCCAAAGCTATATTCACCCCGCTTCGCGTGGGGTGGCCGCCCACACCGCAGGTTTATTTCGGTCCGTGAGAGGGGCTAAGGGTGGTTTTCCCCCGTGGGGGCTCCCCAAGCTAGGGAATTTTCACTTTTCCCCCCCGTGGGGGCTTCCCAAGCTAGGGAATTTTCACTTTTCCCCGCCGTGACAGCTTCCCAAGCTATGGAATTTTCACTTTTCCCTCCCTTGGAGGCTCTCCAAGCTGCGGAATTTCAAATAGCTAGACAACGACGCCTAGATAGTCCCCCAAATCCCGTGTTCTTTGAATGTGTTTCCATGTTTTTGCAATGGTTTCCTTCAAAGCACGGTACTTTACACTTTTGTCGCCATAAAACCGGTCGAAAACATCATGTTCGACAATGCTTCCAATTCCCTTATCTCCCCAACCGTTGAAAATACCGCTATTTACAGTGTTTTCTTCAATTTTTCCATGTGCCAATGCCGGTAGCCAACTCCAACATATATATAAGAAATCCTTCCAAAACATTT